TCTAACACCTAGCCTTCTCGGATAGAGGCGAAAAATCTCGGAGGTCCCTTGTGCAAGATGCGACCGTTGAAGATCCCTTGTGGTCCAAAATTGATAAGAGTAGGTGTCGGCCACCACCCAGGCAAAATTCAAAATTTCCTACCACTTGAAAATGTTGAAAGTGTCCCTCGCGCTCATATGACCTTATGCAGTTGCGAATGCCGTAAAGCACTTACAACAACAAAAATGTAAGAAATTTTGAAAGTCTGATGGGAGAGCAGGATGCAGGAACCATAACACTAACAAAGAAGCGCCCCCATGTGAGTTTTAGGCATACCTTTATTAAATTAAATGTTAAGTATTCAGGTGACTACTTAGCTCCAAATTTTGGTCACTTTATGTGAGGTGTTGGGAATGAGGGATAGCTTCCTGCCCTCCAGGATAGCCTGGGGGGATTTATCGTAGGCACCACACGCAGAACTAAACTAACACCTAGGTTAAACCACATCGCAATCCAGGATATTTACTCATCATCATCATCATCATCTATAAATCGTGTTTTGGGGTCAAATTATGCAAATAGGGGTTATTACGTATTATAGTATCTGGACATTTCCTGACGTATGTAAGCCTCACTACACCCTAAAGCTGAGTTGTTTTTATTAGGTTTTTCCGAAAAAGCACCAGCCTTTTCTGACCTTTACCGGCTGTTTTCTCACAATTTTATTTTTTTTCATACATTATCCCATTTTTCTGCTCTGTCTCTTGTTCAATTTCAATGTAACTTTCACGGGGATACCAACAACACTTAGTTCTAAATTTTCGCTGGTTGAATTTTTGATTAATTTAGTAGTATTTTATTTATCGGCTTAGAAAGCTTGAAATTTCCATTTTTTCACTTTTTTGCAACAACCCAATTGTAAGTGTCATAAAATAAATATTACAGCATATGTCAAAAATTCAACAGGCCAAATTGAGAGCTACATATCTGCTGCTGGCATGCCAAATTAGAAGTGAATCAGTTAATAAATAAGGGAATAAAATGGGATTGAAAAAGTATACAAAATCCAATATGGCCGCCGTTTCCAGAGCAACCGATTCACTATATACTTTTTGAACTGTTGGTTTCAAATCCCCAATAACACACGATGTCCCAGAGCAAATATGGGCACTCTAGGCATTGAAATAACCAAATTAGACCCCAGGTGCCCCACCAGCCCTTAAAAAGCAGAGTAGGCGGAAGAGTATTGCTTGATTTACAGAAAAAAAATAATATGTAAAATGTTTAAAATTTGTTTTATTGAATCGGCTAGACGTTCATCATCATCATCATCATCATCATCATCATCATCATCATCATCATCATCATCATCATCATCATGTGTTAATTGTAAACACTATCATTATTAACTTTCTTTTTAAAAATCTAACTCAAACTACTACATTAACCAATTCTATTTATAACTTACCAACAATAGCCGTCAACAAATCAGGACACGGGATTTTTTTTAAAGTTTAAAGTGATTACTTACTCAATATCTGATTATCTTTCTCTTTTTTTTTTCATGAATAATATCACCTCGAACTTATTTATATATGGTGATTGTGTCTCCTCAGTATGAATTATCTTTAAAAGGTCTTTAAAAATGTCTTCGTTTCAAAAGTGTAAGCATGATGTTACATTTGCCTTTTTTGAACCCTAATTTATGTCAAGATATTTCTTTTTTCAACCTCTGACCTTTCGCGTCTGTTTCTAAAGCTTATTAAATTTTATCTCACTCTTTTTCATTGAGGAGAAGCTTCATCATTTGCCCTTAGTCGGGTTGTAGTAATGTCCCTGTCTCCATCATTAGTACCATGGAGACGTTCCTTTCTACTTCGAGAGCACTTCAAAAATGGAGTTAATCTAAATTTCAAAGTCTTAACGCTAAGTCATCGCATATAGTGCCTTGCGTAAAAAAGAACACAATGACTCAGTCGTTTTGGAGACGGACAATAAACTCGGAGGTCCCGCCTCTTAAATAACTAATAATGTTCATAAGGAGGTTAAACTTAAGCAGTTTCACTTTTTTTTTCTTCTCAGGACCTCAGACGAGGCCAAGGATGAGTATTACTTAGATCTAGATCACGAACCCACCGTCAGAGATATCCCTGCCACAGTAACTAAGCCACAAGGGGATTTCAACGCTCGTGTACCAGCGTCTGTTGTGTAGTGATAAGGTGCTTCACTGTCGACCGCAAATGACCTGAGTTCGATACCCGTCGCGACCCCAGTGCTTTCTTGTCGTACCTCTATTTTTTCAAACAGTGAAACTGTGACTTCTTCAAGCTCACTCTTTTATGAACTGTTTTTACTGTTGTTAAAAATGGAGATGGGAGAAGAAAGCACTGAGGTCGCGTCGTGTAAGGAGAATTCTTACTGAGCATCTTTCCGCAGAGATGTTATATCTCCCTACGGTTCCAGAAGAGGTGACACCTCGAAATCTAACGTTTATCCCCGTTATGACCGAGCCAAGAATGTGCTTCGCGTTCGTTTTTGAGGAGTAAAAAGAAGCACATCGACGCAGGAAAAAGGTGTGGCAGGCAGCAGTTAATGCAAATGCTTTACACTGTCCTGAACACAATTTATTGTTTGTTTGTTTAGTATAGGGTTTTACGGCGCTCGCAACTGCATAAGGTCATATAAGCGCGCGGGACACACCTAATACTTTTTCGTTGGTAGGAAATTTTGAATTTTGCCCGGGTGGCGGCCGAAGCCTACTCTTATCGATTTTAGACCACCAAGGGATCTTTAACGTGCGCAACTTGCACACGGGCCCTCCGAGATTTTTCGCCCTTGTCCGAGAAGGCTAGGTGTAGATCTTTCCTACCAGAAGATCAGGGGTGTGGCAGAAAGACAGCAGTTAGGAGGAGCCAAGGAGTAGCAGTAGAAAGGCTGCAGAAAGAGATCAGGAAAGGATGGGAAAGGAGACAATTTTAGAGAAGAAAATTTTTCGGTCGCTACCCGGAATCGAACCCGGGACCTTTGAATGAGAGGCCAACACCTTAACCTCTAGGCCACGAGAGCCCCCCGACACAATTTAGAACATATAGGAGGGGGGTTTGCTTCGACCTTACCTGTCAGAACCAAACCAGGCTGAGAACATTCTAGCAGAAAGACGAAGATACTCGATAAAGGTTCTCCCCCGCTGGAACCGATCTCAAGTCTTTTACGTCGACATTATAACCCTATAACCGCTAAACGACAGACACAGGAAAGGCAGACCGTCGTTGTAGTTGAGTGACGAGTAGCACATCATCTCAATCTGTAATTTCCGACATTCCCAATACAAATATTATTCTATTCTCTCAGTATCTATTATGTTCTCTCAGTATCGTTTATTCATGCTGTTCTGTAAGAATTTATGACTGTGAATTCATCAATGTGTGCGAATGTGTCTGGGTAAGCTTTGTGGGATTGTCTTTACTCAAGGATGTACTGGAGAGAGAGAGAGAGAGAGAGAGAGAGAGAGAGAGGCAGAGAGAGAGTGAGACTAGTGAGAGAGAGAGAGAGAGAGAGAGAGAGAGAGAGAGAGAGAGAGAGAGAGAGAGAGAGAGAGAGAGAGAGAAAGAGGATTACTATAGGAGCTGTGCGCTTCATATGTTCTTTGTATTATTGTTCAGCGCATTGAGCACTTCTTTGTGGAAATGCGCTTTATAAATGCAATTTATTTATCATTATATTAATATAATCGTTTAGTGCTGGTAAATGTAACACAGACAAACAGAAACAACGGAGGGAAAATAAAGAAGTAGGACCAACCACTCACAGGGTAGACTGAAAAAAAAAACCAGAGGGGAAAGAAAAGGAACAGAAGCTACCAGTGGCGTCCCCCAACCATCCGCCAAAGTAGTTGGGAAACCTTCACAACATCCCAACTTCCAAAGCAATCCGGTTCGCCAGTTGCACAGTTCTTACCATCCGGAACTACAAATACTACAATGCAGATCACCCAGATTCCCATCCGTACCGTATTGTTCGGTTCGATCAAAGAGAAGCACATCCAGCCTGCCTGTTGGGCCGAGTCCTTGCAGAGTGAGATACAGGATCCCTTCAGAAACGTTGAAGAGATGCTCGTTAAAACAGACTTTTAGTAGTAGCATTTAGTAAGAGTTTTACGGCATTTGTAACACAAATAGGTCATACCGACTCCATCATACTTCACTTTCCAAAATGGCGTACGGCGGAGTCTTACACTTTCTGCCACACCCCTGATCTTCTGGTAGGAAAGATCTACACCTAGCCTTCTCGGACTAGGGCGAAAAATCTCGGAGGGCCCGTGTGCAAGTTGCGCACGTTAAAGATCCCTTGGTGATCTAAAATCGATAAGAGTAGGCTTCGGTCGCCATCCTGGCAAAATTCAAAATTTCCTACCAACTGAACATATTAGGTGTGTCCCGTGCGCTCATATGACCTTATGTAGTTGCGAGCACAGTAAAACACTTTACAAAAACAAACAAAGAGTCTTACACTATAGATCAAATAAGTGCAGAAGATATGAGGTGTTACTAGATAGTAACATACATGCACCAAGAAATGAAGGAGAGATATATATGGACGATAAATATTTGATTACGAAAAAAGAAGCAGACCATATCAGAGCACCCGTCAACCACCCACGAAACAAACTGACCCACAATGGGACAGCAAAGAGCCTAACTGTAACAACACCACAGACATCAGCGATTCTACAGACGTTATCTCTTGTGAAAGAAAGTGTATGACTCCAACACCCCTATCACTACTTTTAGGTTATGAGGCAGGACCTGTAATTCCACGTTCGTCTCCGAAAGGACCGAGCCAAATGGGTTGGGAGCCTTGAAAACTCCACACAGCAACCCGATTTCAATGACGACACAGTTTGGCTTTCGAACCAAGGTCATCCACTCTGAAGCCCAGCATGATACCAACTGAACACACGAGCGCCCACGTCTATCTCACAGTTCATTCTAAGAGTAAAAAACCAACAATGAAAAAGAGCTTTCTATCTCAGTTGCTTTTGTATTTTATTGATCGGGACCTCCATGTATTTGTAAGAGAAATGTACATGATTTTCTTCACTGTAATAATCTTATGAAATATATACAACTACAGTTCTGAGACAATTCTACGTAATATTATAAATAGCACTAGCAATGGTAGTTCTTCTTCAGTACAAAAATACTTTTCATTCAATTCATTGAGGCCACACGTTTTACAATCATTTACATAGTACAAAAAGTATACATTTTTCCCGAGCAGCGTGAACACCGAGTGCTGGTCCTGGAAGGAATATTCCTTACCTCTGTTCAAGCCATTAAATACAACATGTATATATATAAATATATATATATATACATGTATGTATGTATGTATGTATGTATGTATAATATATAATCAACCAATCCTATGCATATCGGTTCCCATTCAGCCCTCTGAACAGCACGTTTCTCTCTCTGCATTCATAAAAATCAAATAAAATGTGCTGGAGACTTGCTGGTCTCTGCATCTAACAGGTTACTTAACGTCTACTTCTGGAAGGCTACCGACACAAAACTAACATGTGAATCACGTCAATGCCGTATATTATAATATTCTTGTCGTAAAACAAACCAACAATCGGGTCAGTGAGATCGCGTAATGTTTTCCCTCAGAGTTTTATCTATTGTCAGGTCACCCCATGCAATGTCTGTATAGTATGTGTCCTAGTTCTCAGAGAAATCAACAAGTCAGTTGCGTTAATATAGACTGATAGATTGCAACTTTACTACCTGCAGAAACACAAATCAGATAATTTAGGCGAGCGGTTTCTTGACCCTCTCTGTCAGAGCCAGCCTCGGCTGACTGGGATACAGCATCCCAGCTGACAGATGGAGATACTCGATAAAAAACACTACCCTAAACAACAATCAAACTCAAACCTTTTCCCCTTTCCCCATTCAAACCGTGATATAGCTAACTGTTACACCAGACACCAACAGTCTATATATGTAGGCGGTCTACATTCTATCTGTACAATAAATCAACAGGTCAGTACTGTCTGTCCTCATTCATAAACAAAACCAAAAGATCAGAAGAGTCTGTGTTGTGTCGATGTACTGTATAATTTTGTAGTTGTGCGAATTCAAGGCCTCTTTCGACTCGGCAAGGACCTCTTTGATAATACTGAGCCAAGTTCCATTTTATTTTTAGCAATGTTTTAGGCCACTTGCAAGACAAATAGGCAAAACAAGTGCCAAAGATAAGAGCTGTTACTAGAGAGTTAATAGACGTTTTACAGAAAAGGAGCAAAGAAGGACTAAGCCAAGAGGTTGGAGAGCCTTGAAAACTCTCCAAAGAACAAATTCAAAAGATTAGAACCAGCTTCATCAGTACAATAGGTCAGCACATTACTAAGTGAGCTCAAAAAAAAAATGATACCTTCTTGGTGTACATCCCAGTCATAAAAGAAATCAACAAGTAAGTCTCGAATGACCTAGTTTTAAAACAAACAACCGACAAGCAAAGAGAGACACAGGAAAGTTAAAACAAGAATAAAGGAACTGTTTTGGCAATAGAATTAAGCAGCCACTTTTATCGTGGGCCAGAGCATCACTCACTCACGGCACTGGGGAAGACTAAACAACAGGTCAAACAACAGGTCAGAGGTCACTTTCAACACTGTCCAATGAGATGGAGAAAGGTAAAGTGACCAGTGAAAGGATAGATAAGACGTGCCACTACAACCAATAAGAATGCAGTTAAAACAACAGGGTAACCATCCATACAACTGTGTCCACCCTCACGGTAAGGGGAAATAATAAAGACTAAACTTTAGTAGTCTAAAGAGACTAGATAGATATGTACATGATAGTTCCTAGACTCCGACTCTCAACACGAGAGTCCCTAACCTTTAAAAAACTCAATCAGATAGTCCCTAGACTCAAAATACTCTCAACATGACAGTCCCAAGATTAAAAATGCTCAACTCAACAGCTCTTCAACTCATAAAACTCAATACAATAGCCCCTAAACTAAAAAACTCCTAACATGACAGCCCTGTAACTCATAAAACTCTCGACACAATTGCCCCTTAAATCATAAAACTATCAACATGATAGTCCCAACACTCAAAACACACACCAACACAGTCCCAAGACTCCTACTTTTACACCACAATATTCTGACAGTGCTGGCACAGCGTGAAGGGAAAAAACAAAATTCTGAAAGTCCGAACAAAATATCAGGAATGTCTACATCACCCTTGGGCCAGTAATTATTTGTGCGTATGTCAGTGCGTGTGTATGCCTGTGTAGATGTATGTGCGTGTGTATGCCTGTGTAGATGTGTGTGTGTGTGTGTGTGTGTGTGTGTGTGTGTGTGTGTGTGTTATTGTGTTTGTGTATGTGTGTGACAAACAGAAATGTCCCGGATATTTCAAGACTAGCCTTGTGACTCTATAGAGCTGGCCAAACGGGGGAAATTCCCAACACCAGTGGACGGATGTGATACAAAAAAAAAGTTCCTATATATAATACACATTTATTGGCAGCGGAGTGGGAGCGAACTGAAGGGTACCGCAGACAGACACTGGCAGAAACAACCGACGCAACTGTGGGAGCCCAGTTTGGAATACATCAGACAATGGTGATGAAGACACACACGCACACATGCACACATACATAAACACTCATACACAAACACAAACACGCACCAGAATAACATCCCACTGGACAGCAAACATCGTTGACTTTCAAATGAATTGAACTGTTTAACTGTTTCTACCTTTCCAATTATTCCCTCAGTCACTTAAACCTCAATATTACCACATGCTACTGAAGGGGAGGGTTGGGGGGGGGGGGTGTATAAATAAAACAAACCATATGCTGCATTCATATTATTATCATTAGTACAATCTAACACAGGACTGTTCGTAGAACAATGTCTAGACAGAAAACTATGTCAGCTACAAACTTGATTCCACCGCAAACACAAACATTTTTAATAGGCCACTTCTTTAAATATTCAAAACTTTTCACACTTTTACAAAACACTTTGGCTTACACAAGATCAGTTTAAGGCATAGACAAAGGCATTTATTCACTGTCCACTCTGTAGTGGACACAGGCCCATCACACACAATCGTCTCAGACTCCCCTCCACCATGCACAAAACATGTACAATGTACAAAGATCTTTATAAAAACATGTTCCTTTTGCAAGAAAGAATATTTAAAAATATCTTTAAAAATGACAGTACAGTAAAATAAAAAAAAGCTAAAACTAAATATTGGAATAAAAATTATAGAGTAAAAATATGTCGAATTCTGACAGAATGGGACAACCAGGAACTGACATCAGGAAGCACAGACTGTCAAAGCAACAAAATAAAAATAGAAATTTATGGAAAATTCTGTAGCCAAACTTGCTCCTTGAGAAGGGGGATAGGACATGCGTCACAGACAAATGTGAGAGTACCTTTGAAAAAAACAACCAAATGTCATTGATGATGAATATCGAGATTGACGTGGTTCTGTATAGAGCAAGCAAATCTGAACACGTTGTTCTTTAAATTCTTTAAACATCTAAAGCTGTCATTGAAGAATGACAGAAGTTTTGAGAAACTAGGTATGAAGAAACCGAATGGCCAAAAACAAATCTTGAGTTTCATTTTCTGAGATTTCACAGCATTAGAAGCTTCCCAAGCAATCATATTAAAAACATTTGCGATTTTCATCCTTCCTGCATAAGATTTGAAAAAGAATAAACATTTATTTTAGCAAAGACCTACATTTTGATTGTCATGACTTTCCGCACATTTTGAGCTCTACAGAAAATCTCCGTCTGCCAACATCTGGGGAATTTTCTAACGCACATAGACAAATCTCTGATGAAACACGACTGACAACTTTACCACCTGTGCTCCGAGAGCAGGGTCCCAACTACCAGACAATATTATCTACACAAGTGTCTCCACACAGGAATATTTCTTGTCCCATTGGACCATCTTCACCAGGGACATTCAAATCAGATCCAAGTCAACCTTGGGCTCACACTGGGCACAACACAAGGCAGAACAAACTGTACAGCAGAGGCGACGCCCACCACGCCTCCTCTCACAAAGGAAAAAACTCCACTTGGCCTCGGCACACCACAAAGCCAAACCCCACTCGTGGACACACGGATAAAGAACAACATGATAGCACTCTTTGTGGTCTGGAATGCCAGTTTTAACAAGCAAACTCATAAGTCTGGAATGCCAGTTGTAACAAGTTTTACGTATATATAAATAAATATAAATATATCTATATATGATACATATGCAAACTACACATGTCTATAAAACTAGGTAAGTAGCGCCTGTGAGAAAGAGGTCATTTGCCCATTGGCGACAGGACAGTATCATCAACAACTATGACATTACTGACACCGTCATCAAATAGGAAGGCGAGGGTGGACAAAGGCAGACAAGAACAAGTGGTGTGAGTGTGTGAAGGAGGAGGAGTTGAGTCGTGTTTGTGGGCCACAGTAGGCTGAGCACTGACGGGAGCAGAAGGCACAGGGGAAGTCCGGTTCGGGGGGTTGGGGGTTGGGGGTGGGGGTGAGAGCCTGCCAGACAAGCCACATCATCCTGTTCTCCATTCTCCAAATCAAACACAAACACACCGCTGTACACTTGCAAACACACACATATAAACAGGTAAGTTATTTGAGATAAAAGCGAAGCACATAAGTGCTGGGATAAAAGCAATACAATAATATACAACAAGACGGACAGATCTACCAAGGGAAAGTAAAGATGTACACGGCACCCTCTGACCACATGCAAATAGAGGCAATGACCATGGCGGACGGAATTTTGGGACAGCACACAGGCCACGGTGCCCCCACACTAACACATACACTCACCCACGGCTGACAATACAAGGGTGTTAACACAATATCAGCTACAACGAATCAGCACAAGTCCAGTAGCCAGGAGCAGGGAGGTGGGTGCCTGGCAACAACTTGCACAACGAGAGGACTATGAACAATTCTTTACGTTTTACTCCCCATACATACAATTAAGATCATATCGGAGGCGGGCTGCTTCCCACCACCACAACCATCCCACAACAGGCCCTCAGACACACCATCAGTGTCCCTCCAAGCAGTTATTTCAAGCCAATTCGAAAAACAACACAGTGCACTGTACAATAAGTTTTGTGGTCCCTCCGTCTTTTAAGTAGTGGCCTTGCAGCCGGCTCTGTCTATGTCACAAGTGTGCGAGTCTGGAAGAAGCAAGTCCAGGACAAATAAGGAAGAGGGTGGCGGAAGAAGAAGGGGAAGAAGAACACTGGGGCTGACGTGGTCATGAGGTAGTTACCACAGGAGGCAACCAGGGACATCCTTGAGGCAGTAGGTCTTTTCAGCTCCGTTCTCGGCTCTGACCAGTCTGTGTGTCACCATCACTGCGAAGCCCGAGTGACCAGTCCCTGTGTACAAACCAGTGACCGGTCAGCAAGAAGCTTTTATGTCTGCAATAGTGACGAAAAGAACACCAGCCTCCATGTCTATGCCAGTGACCAGCCTACATGTTTGCACTAGTGACCAGCCTAAACGACCAGCCCCCATCTGTATCTCCTAACTCTGGCCCTCACAGCTGCTGCGCCTGCAGATGGCGCTTCTGGTAGATCCCGTTGAGCGCAGACACGGTGTCGGAGAGAAGCGAGTCGAATAGCGAGTCGGCCAGCGACATCTTGAGGTTAAGCTCGTCCTGGCTGTAGTTGACCCAGCCCCGCTCCTCCTCGCCCAGCTCTTGCACCAGCACTGCGTCCACCGCATCCTTCTTCTTGCGCACATTCCACTTGTTCTGCGTCTGCGTGCGACGCGTGCCGTTGAGGTCCAGCAGTTTGAGCACAGCCTCCTGCACCACAGGCTGCAGTGTGTCCACCGTGCAGGGCGGCCGCGCGCCTCGGTAGTGTCGGTGGCTCGGGCGCTGGGCTGGCTGCCATACTTGGGGCTCGGGCTGAAAGTACATCACAGAGAAAGTGTGTTAGTAAGAGAGAGGTGTGTTAACATGAGAGAGAGCGAGAGAGAGGGAGAGGGAGAGGGAGAGGGAGAGGGAGAGGGAGAGGGACAGGGAGAGGGAGAGGGACAGGGAGAGGGAGAGAGAGAGAGAGAGAGAGAGAGAGAGAGAGAGAGAGAGAGAGAGAGACAGAGAGAGTGAGAAAGGGAGAGATATACCATGTAACTGTTCAAAACAAAAAGAATGACGCAGTATGCAGCCTCTTGATAATGATATATTAAGAGTTGCATGAGCTGGTGAAAGCACACCATCCATTTAAAAATTATTTTCTTTAAAGGAGCATCAATACAGTATATTTTACGTTTAAGAAGTACAATCATCAATCGTCGTCCTTGCAAATGTCTTGGGCAATATTTTCCCTCCATGAGTTTGAAAAATATGAAAGTAAAGATGGAGCAGAACCTATTACGAGCACCCACACTAGATTCTCCTTCGATCCCACCAAGCCCGCTATCTATCACATTCAGGGCCCTCCTGCTCAGTTCTTCTGTTGACCCGTACAGCTTCTGTAATATAACCCCCTAACCACAAAACACCAGCACTACCTGGTCGTCATCCTTGTAGATATCACGGATGATTTCCCCCGTGAGGTCAAACAACATGCGGTGCCAGCTGCGTCGACTCTGCGACACAATGTTATCCGGCCCACCCTCCTCCTCTTCCTCATCCTCTGCCGAAACTCCCTGCAGGAAGTCCTCCGGTGGCTCCACGTCCTCCAGCGACTCCCCATAGCGTCTCGTGGTCCAGAACACGTCCACAGCACGAGAAACAATGGGAATTATCTCCTCCTTTGTGTGGGCTACCACCGGCGGGATCTCCTCGGCAATGACCAGCCCACGTTCTCCCATTGCGGCTGGGGAGAAACAAGTCAACACTTTACCTTGAACAACCTTACAGTTTTTAGAAGTGCAATATCCTACGGCATTTCAAATAATATTAGCTTTTTACAGTGAAAACATGAAAGAAATATTCTGTAATTTACGCCGATACCCTTTATAATATTTTTACTCTTACGTTTGATGCAGATTTTGGGTTAGGTTATGAGAAAACCATGCAAATAAAAACAGCATTTTGTGGAACAAAATCTAAGCCATCCTATTGACAAGCCCAAAGTATAGTAGTAGGAACTGATGAAAGCTTTTAATAAAATTTGTGCATGTACATGTGTTTCAACAGTGTTATGCATAGTTCTTAGAGAAATATGGTCATGTGTGTTCACATGTGTGGATGTGCACGTACTTGGAGTTTGGTCCCCGGGATAGGTCGGATGAGCCTTGCCAGTGGTGGTCGACTGTTCGAATCCAAGATCATCGTCAATGTATTCTCCGAATAAGTTGTTCAAGTCGTCATTCAAATCTTTCCTCTGAATACGAAAGCAAAAAACACGCTCACAATTAATCAACAGCTACCACCTACAGTGCTTTTCAAACAAAAATCTGCCAGAAAATATATAGAGCTCTCCTTTACCACACCCATACAGCATTCATCAACACATCAATATAGCACTCAAACAAATCATCATGTGGATCTTATTTACACATGTATAATACTCATCAACCACATTTAGATCAATAATATGCTGTAATAACTTCAAAGTTATGAGTTTAAAATAGGAAAAAATTTTCCAATTCACTCAAAATTATAGCAATTGACTTAGGTCATTACAGCAGTATGTCAACAAAGAACTAATTTACCACAAACCATACACTATTCATCAGCTACTTCCATATCGTTCTGGCAGAGATTTTGAAGGTGATATGACACTATGTAGACACATTACGTTACACAGAAGCTGGTGAAAGCACACGTTTACTTTCCCCCAGAGATGGATCACTTCAGGATATCTTAATTCAAGCTATTGTTTTACTAATGCTGAAGACAGATGACCAACTTACGTCCTGTGTGGAGACAGCATCACTGGGCACTGGTGACCCCGGCCGCTGGAACGGGTCCATGGATAGACCAGAATCGTTGTCTTGAATCTTCTCCTCCTCGTCATCATCTTCATCGTCGTCAAAAGAGTCTTCTCCTCCCTCTAGAATTCCATTCATCAGAGACGTCTTATCTTTCGCACTCTCTGCCTTCTTCCTCTTAATCTTAACCATGTCCAGGATTGCCTCGTCCAGTAGGGTCTTCATCACCCCATCGGTCGTCCTGTCAGGAGCAGACGGAGAACTCGCCGGCCCCTTCTGTTGCTCCGAGACTGCAGAGCCGTCGGCGGGGGAGTCTGCCTTCTTCGTTGTTGTTGTTGTTGCTGCTGGCTTGGGTGGTGTGGCAGGGGTTGGGGACTTCTGAGACGCAATCTTACCAACTGTTTCGAAAGAGTCTTCTATCAGAGTGCTGGTCAGCTGGTCCGTGATTTTGTCCGCTAATGCTGTCATATCACCTTTGACGGGTGTGGCGGTCGGCTTCTGCGTGTGGTCTGCCTGTCGCTGCGGAGAGCCCAGCGGTGTGGAGTGGAACATGGAGGCATCGGCCGCTGGGAGGATGGTCTTCTCTGGCTCCTGGACGTCCTGGACATTGGACGAGTCGTCCTGGTCAGTGGTCAGAGACTCGTCAGGACTGCGAGCTTCCTGGTCCTCGCTGGGGACCGCCGCCGGCTGCTCAGTGAAGGCGCTGATGTCACTGCCATGTACCATGACCCCGTGACCCCAGCGACAGCTGAAGTAACGTTTGCCTTCGTGGAGGCCATCAGAGTCGCCTTCTTCGGTGTCCAGTTCGACTCCTGAGGAGAGCAAGAGGTCAACTGAGTGTTATTTTGTCATAAAAACTGAGGAGAGTAAGAGTCCATTCAGACTCTCTTGAGCCTTATCATTATTTCAACAAACAAAGGATTACTAGTCACAAAGAGCCAGCAAATAACTGAACCAAACAACCGGGACTGTCAGTATAAGACAGAGGAGAACTGCGGAAGCCACCAAAATCTCAAAGCCTCGAACTGGAATACAATGTGTTTAGTCTAGAGAACTGGCAAACACCAAGTAAAAATGTGCAGAAATTATTAAACGCACTTATGGGTCACCAGTCTTAGTACCTTGCACAGCCTGTCTGTAATATGGCAGACATTTGATTGGGATAGACAACATCTGATAGTAAGAATCACGCCCCTAAACAAATCAACGGCAGTTCAAAAAGTAGAGGAAATATGTCTAATCCAGTCCAGTACCTACCTGCCCAGATGCCGGGAGAGAAATCGACCTTGCCCTTGTACTTGAGCCGGCCGGGTCGACGACCCCACACCAGCACCCGATCCTCCAGCAAGAAATCTGCCAGGGGGTCTGTCTGTAAGAGAGAGGCATTCTCCTCTTCTTCCTCCTCTTCCTCATCCTCTGGCACGGGTGTAGGGGCCATCTCTCGAGGGGTGGCCACTGGCGTTTTGTCGTCCTCATCCTCTCCCTCCTTGTAGCCCAACAAGTCATCAAGGACATCCTGCGAGTCTTGGCGGAGCGAGCCGCCAGAACGCTTCTCGGAGATGGACGGGAGACTGGCTGAAATGTGCTCGCTGATCTCCTCCTCCAACCTCGAGTTGCCTGCGCCCTGCACGGGGGGCAAGGATTTGTGGGAGGGTGAGCGTACGGGCGTGCGGTCAGAGGCGAAGCTAACCGCGTCCTCCTCATCCTCCTCCATGTACGACATGCTACCCACAGAACGCTCGCTAGACGGCCGCGAGCTGCCCTCTGACTTGGCCGAGCAGTTGACCCGGGACTCTGTCTCACTGTCCGACTCCTGGATGCCTGTGGTGGGAGGGCTGGACGGACCCTGACCAAACATGTGGGGAGGATAGATGGTTAGTCACGATCTGGGGGTCAATCTCTTTCACGTGGTGTTTAGTTTTAGTAGAAGTTTTGCGGCGCTCGCAACTGCATAAGGTCATATGAGCGCCAGAAGATTAGAAGTGTTAAAAGATAGTAACAAACATAAAAAAGAAGAAGGGGAGATAAGGACGGTAGATGTTTGATAGGAAAGAAGAAGCAAACCACACCAGAGCACCCGCCAACCACCCACTTTCACGTGGTGTGATGAGAGAGAGAGAGAGAGAGAGAGAGAGAGAGAGAGAGAGAGAGAGAGAGAGAGAGAGAGAGAGAGAGAGAGAGAGAGGGAGGGAGGGAGGGAGGGAGGGAGGGAGGGGGGGGGGGGAATGTGTTGCCTATAGCAAGGGGATATGATGTGGTGGGGGGGGGGGGAAACAGACAGACAGACACAGACAGACAGACAGAAGTCTTGATTTTGACAGATTCCATGTGGTTGTATATAGTAAAAATAGTTAGTCCCACATAACAAGGGAGAGGGAGGACAGACAAAGAGACTAATAGCCAGCCAGCCAGCCAGCCAGCCAGCCAGCCAGACAAAAATGTAGACACTGACAGGTAGAAGTCCTCATTTTTAACTGATTTCATGTGGCTTTATATAGTAAAAATAATTCGTCCCATGTAACAGACAATTTAATTCTGCCCAAATTCCATTACCTGCTGTGGGCTGTCCTGTGGGCTGTCCTGTGGCTGGCTCTTGTTGGTGAAGTCAAACTTGGGCTGTGAGGCCACGGACGGAGACTGCAGCGAGATGGCCTCCTCAATGTGCTCGGAGATATCCACTTCCGACCTGGCCCCTTTGTGTGAAAGGTCAGCTCCAGTGACCGAACCCTGACTGCGAGCGCTGAGCGGCAGCTTCCCGGCGTGACTCTGCGCCAGACTGGACTGAAGCTCAGAGAAGTCCATGCTGTACGAGTTCTCCTCCTCTTCTCTCCCTTTGCTGGCGCTGTCTCCCCGGGACGCTGCAGCTGCTGCTCCCATCTGAATCTTGATGAGTCCTCCGGACGACGTTTTCTCCGACTGCGAGGCTTCCTCGATCACTTCCTCCGCCACGCTGGAGGAGGTTGTGGTCTTCTCGGACACGTCATCTCGTCTCTTCACTGCCACGGGCAACTTGCTTCCCTTGCCCGAGGCTCCGGACTTGTCAGAGAGGGACTCGGAGCCCTCAGAGATGCGGTCCATCAGCGAAACCGGGGCTTTTTTCTTGCCCTTTTCCTCCACAGGAGAACCCTTCAAATCTGAGATAGAACAAATTAACATCTTAGAGGGTCAGCCTCCACTACAGACATCTTTCAGTAACATCTTTCAGTACAACTAAAATAGTGTATTCATCCAGCCCTCCTTACTCCTGCACATTGTCGCAATAAGTCATTTTGTGCTTAGAAAAACTAACGGACTGACACAACAGAGGGAAAGAGCTAATAATCAAAAACAATAGAGGGATAGCAACAAAAAAAGGACTTGCCAGTGGTACCCTCTTACCAAAAGCAACTCATACAACAGGTTCATCATTCCTTGAGCAGTGTGTTAACACTCTACTTGACAAGAGAGAAAAAGAGATCAACAGCACTGATAAGAAGACACAAAGCCAACGAAATTACAGGGAAGTTATCAACTGAGAAATTCCTCAAGTCAGCACAAAAAAAAGAATAAACTGTCTTTAAGCCACAAATAAAACAAATGAGAGAAAGTGAAAAAAGGTGGAGCAACATAAGACCGAACTCAAATCACCTTTGGCCTCCACATTGGGGCTGGTCTGGTTGGAGTCGGTGCCCTCCCGCATGTCTTCGAAACTGGAGGAATTGCTTGCCGCATCATCGCCATGGCGACCAGGTCGACCCTTCACTTGGTGACCCCCGCGAGGTTGTTTGATCTGAGGCTTGACAGCTGTCTTGGCAGGCTCGTGTTCCAGGTCCTCTTTCTCTACTTTGAGCTGCTGGATGTAGTTGTTGTAGGCCTTGAAGGGTGGGAAAAAAGAAGAAATCAAGACATGAAATGTGATTGTTTTAAGTTATAACTTGATTTATAACAAGTTGGGGGACAATAGAGGTCACTGTAAGTTCGCACTGGAATAGAAAGGTTGCTGTAAGTGTCTTGAAATACTTTTGTTTTCAGGTTTTTTTGAGTAAAGAGAAGCACCTTGACACAACAATGACCATTTACTGCTGGGGAAAAAGTAAGAAAAAAACAACAGAGGGAAAGTAAAGAAGTAGGACCTACCAGTAGTGCCCTCCAACAATCCATTTTCTTAAGATACAAAAGGATTCACCATGATTCTTTAGGAATAACAGAGGCAACCAGTTGTGTCTTGACAGATAAAAGTTTCTCAGGACAAAAATATAGAGAAATACATAGACAAGCAACAAAAGTCACAGTAACATCACAAAGTTGTTTGTTTTGTCTGAGTAAAAAGAAGCACATAGACACAATAATGGTCAGTTAGTGCTCAGGATAAAGTAAGACAGACAGAACCAGCAAAAGGAAAGTTAAAAAGAAGGACCTACCAGTGGCACCCTCCAACCATCCACAACAAAGGTCTCTCAAAACACAAAAAAGGTAATTGGAAGTATTTGAAGGAGTAGGCATTTTACAGCATTATCGACTCTCACTGTAAGTGTCTTTGACACAAGAGAGACGTACTCACCTCCAGCTGTTTCTTCATGGCGTCCTCCTGGACCTTGAGCTTCTCCTTCTGCCGACGACTCCGCTCCTTCTTCAAGATCTCCACTTCCTTACGCCGTCGACGCAGCTCATCACTCAACTGCCGGATTCGAACCTCGTAGTCACTGGCATCTGACAGGGTCTCTGTACAAACAGGGACAAGGGTGTCATATTTTGCTCAGTTGAAATATTACTAGGTGTAATGCTATACAGCATGAGATTCCTTCCCAATTACAAAGACAGTCACACTGACACTGGAGAGGGAAAAGAAATCAGAACACCCCTTATATTCTGTCTTAAGTCTAACAAAATATACCATGCATTGAGTATAGTGTTAAAGGAATTTACAAGACTTTCAGTCTTACTTTTACAACAGATTACATTTACTGTCGTTGTTGTTGTTGTTGTTGTTAGCGATCCAGTAGCATCTGAGCGTTAACTCATCTGCATGATGCCATTCGGTAATAGTTGCATTGGAGTAAAGCAGTCTGCTGCCTGCCCACTATGTGACTACCCCTCAGAGACAGTGGAACATCATCTGTTCTTCTGTAGAAATCTGATTTAAGGGGATGTTTTCTTCCCAAGCTACCCCACACATCTAATTGCCTCTACTCCTCAAGAAAACAATTAGAACATTTACTGTCCAACATTATATTTAGTGCCTTTCAATGCCGAACATTTCCAAGATAACTTCAAGGAACAGACACTATCAAAAGCCTGTTTGACAATCCCAGGCCTAAGAGTTTTACCTGTATGGGAAATGGAATCCTCGGACTCACTCTCCGAGCCTGTCTTCCTGGACCAGGGAGATGGGAGTGGGGAGTTGCCCTGTGGGAGGAGTTTGCCCACTGACGATTTCTTACGGCTGGTCACAGATGCTGTGCCGTCCTGTTCAAAAGTGTCAGCATAGTCATCATTGGCCGAGCTGTTGATGAGGGTGTCGTCGCTCGAGTCTAACGCCTGAATAAAGAAATATTGAAACACCGGTCAACAATTAAAAAGGCTTAGCAATGAAAGTTGTAAACTGTTATGGAAATTGATGGGTTGACTTCAAATACGTTGCCAGTTTTCGTCAACCAGGTCACCTTTATGCAAAATTCACGCATCGATATAATCTTAAGTATGCTTGATGTGTTCAGGGGAGGAAAGAATCATGACATCTATGAAACAAAAGGGAAGTAACCTATTATTTAAGCTCACCGTACAGAAGAACCTTTATAATGGCCAATTTTTATTTTTTTATGTTCAAGTATTAACATGAATCTCTTAAAGATGTTACATAATTTACATTTTTGATATTCATGTGCAAGTGAGATTTCAAATGTTTCAATTCATATGGATCAAAGAGAAAAAAATTGCAATGTATCTTATTAAACATCTTGACCTTATAGAGAAAATCTAACACCAAATTCAGACCCACAACACAGATTCCCTTTGTAAATAATATTCACAAGCCTAAGTAGAAAAGATATTCAAACTATTTGTCGACCTGTAAAATTATTGCATAATGTCAAGGAAGCTCAAGCAAAAGAGCTTCAGAAAGAACAAACCAAAGCGATATTAAATTCTGGAACAAATAAATGTACTGCCTAAAAGAATGAATGCGAGCTCCCAGGCCAACATGCCCACACACCCATACCCACCGACATCCACCAAACCCACACCCACACCCACACCTACACCCACACACACACACACACACACCTAACCTCTCTAAACAGACGGACATTCATCAACCCACACACTACTGTCTCTCCACACCCCTCACCTTCTGTTTCTCCTGTGCTGTGCCAGTAGGCACCTCCTCTGGTATAGAACTCTCACTCCCGCTGGCCCCAGGTGACCGCTTGTTGTCTTCCCTCGACCACGCGCGTTCCGACCGTGACCGAGACTTTTTGTCAGGGCTCGTCTCCGTTTGACTGATACTCAATTGAGTGGATATGGCTTCCGACACTGATCCCTGACCAGTCCTTGACCTTCCGGCTGTTGCAGACGCCGCTGCTGTTCCTCCTTCCATCTCGTCGCGTATGGAAGACACCAAGCGTTCTGATATCACCGTAGAGTCGTCCCTCCTGGAGGCTGCAACTGGCTTCACTGGCTTCGATGCTGCAGATACAAGACGAGTCTCATGTTCTCAACTGAGTCCCTTGACCTTGACAATGGGAATGGCTTATTTTTCTTCACTTTTCGTTAAATCTAACTTACCATTCCCATGGAATAAAGCTGTCACACTTCTTAGTCAAACAAGTGTGTAGCAAGGCAAAAGGTTACGAAATGAAACAAAATCTTATTGTTTATATTCATACTTTTCTGGGAAACTCCTAGGATAATTCTGAAATGAAAAGTTTTCCAGTTTTAAAGCTCCCCCTGGAATGTGCTAATTCTAATATCAAAATCCTACATTTCTATGAAACCACCCGTAAACGGTGTAAATCCTTTTCGGTTTGGTAAAAGTTTAAAGGTGCTCGAAACTCTATAAGGTCGTTTGAGCATGCAGAAAACAAATCGGTTGTTTTCACTGTAGTTCAAAGCAGGTCTTGGGTTTCACTTTGCAAGCAAGAACAGTTGATGTATCTAAAAATACATAGGAAAAGTTTCAATAGGAGTAATCATTTACATTTTTTAATTGGTACCATCTATATTGTACAAAAAGCTAATGGAGCAGGGTAGTTTCAAGATTTTCAAAACGTTACGTTTCTTGGCGGGCGTCTCCTCCTTGTCCTTCTTCTTGTCCCTCTGTTTGCCCTCCCAGGCCTGGATGGCTTTCTTCTCCAGCAGGAAGACCTTGGCCTCCTCCGCATCCAGCCTCTTCTTCCACTCCAGCAGCTCCTTGGCGTGTTTCTTACGCTCATACAGCTTGTGTTCCCGTGCCGTCATGTATCTGGATGGGTTGAGGGGGGGGAGACATCAAATTGTGGCAGAAGAATATCGGGACTTGGGTTGGGGGGACACAACACATTTTTTGTATGGGGATGGGAATACTTCTGATGTATGTAGGCAAATGCACAGTTATAGAGGGAGAATGTATCCGATGCACGTAAAAGAATGCAAATCTCTCTCTCTCTCTCTCTCTCTCCCTCTCTCTCTCCCTCTCCCTCTCCCTCTCCCTCTCTCTCTCTCTCTCCCTCCCTCTCTTCCTCCCTCCCTCCCTCCCTATGTGTGTGTGTGTGTGTGTGTGTGTGTGTGTGTGTGTGTGTGTGTGTGTGTGTGTGTGTGTGTGTGTGTGTGTGTGTGTGTGTGTGTGTGTGTTAGAGAGAGAGAGGGGGGGGGGGAGGACAGGAGGGAAAGAGAGGAAGGGAGAGAGAAAAACAGGAAAAAAAAAGAGACAAAGCGAAACAGAGAAGGAGGGAGGGGGTGAACGTGGAAAGGGGAGACCAAAAAAATCTGAGCATGCTGCGAGTTCACTACTGACCTTTGGTCCAGTCTCAGCTTGGACATTTTCTCCCTCTGGTTCTGCTGGCCTTGCTGGGCGTCAGAGTGAGCCTTACTCCGGTACATCTCTGTGTCTGACTTGGAGTCTGGGGGTACACAAAACATCATTTGTAGTTGATTGGGGAACAAAGACTGGATGTTCACCATGGACAACAGAGTGCAGCCATTTGCTGACTTAATGTGACTACAATTACCCAAATCCTCCTACTGAGACCACATTTACCCATAACCTTGCTTTGTGATGGCATTTACTCATAAACTATCTTTGTGATATTTGCTGATCCCGAGAAGGTTTTCCTCCACTCGAAATAGCATCAACTAAGAAGTTCGAGTCTTGGCACAAAGTCCGTTCAGATCAGATCCTCACCCACCTCGTTCAAATATGTACTTTTCATGAAACTGACCCTCTTTCATTAAAAACAAGCCTTGTACATTCATTAACTGGCAATTCACAGAAGTCTTACAGCATTTTTGTAAAGATAATGTATGCATACCTTTCAAATCGTCACTAACATCAGAGGCTTCCTCGATCTGAAAAGTAAACAACAAAATGTTCAGTCATGCTAGATCTACAAGAACTTCCCCACGTATGAGTTCATGGAACTAGTACACAACACTTCAAGCATACAACACTTAACCATGCCAAACTCAACTGACAAACAAAAAGCTACAATAAAGTCCAGTCAAGTAATCAAAAGATAATACGATATAATATCGCAAAAGACGTATTGGGTATACAATAAATAATTCAGAAGTGAAAGTCAGTTATTTTACAGAGGGTTTCCAGCTTTCAAGTGAACCCATTTTATAAGAAACTTGATTTTTTTTTTCCACAGCAGCCGTCAATCAAGCTAGTAGCTTGTGCTGTCAGGTTTAGAAAAGGAGTCTACAATCATAGCCTACTAAACTATACACATGTAAACAGACTCTTTACACTAGCACCCTGACCCAATACTAACCACATCACACAGGGATAAGCTAGATACACAAAAACAACAGAAGAAAGAAAAGACAACAGATTTACCACTGGTGTCCTCCAACCACCCCAGAGTCATTTCATGAAAGAAAGAAGATTTAAATTACGAATACAAAGGGGGGTTAGCAAAGACTCCAACAACCATCTGATCATTTAGGGCAGAGAGAGGCTCCTTCACCACACTGACTCTTACCTCATCCTCTGTGTGAACCTCCGAGGGCCGGTCAAGTCTGCCCTTGGAAGGAGTCGAAACTTTGAGCTTGACCAGAGTCTGAAATAATGAAATATTACATTTAGTTTACCAGTGCTTTACAAGCTTTACTCTAGCTTTAAAGTTTTCAGATAAGAGCATGGGTAGACTAAGGCTGCAGGTACATAGGATAAACAAGTACAGATTCACAGTCAATCATGTACTTATTCAAGTGAACATATTCAAGAATTGCATCCAATCCTTTTGACAAACAAATTTACAAACAATAAAATCATCAATAGAATGTCAATATACAGTAATTAATTACTTGCAAATATAATAATTTATATCATACCCACAACAAAAAATTGGCCATACGTTCAGAATAGTTGTCACTTTAAGAAGTCAGTGTTGCATATAGGCCTAAATATATTTCTTAATTTCCTCACTATATCTCAAAGGTACATGTATGAACATTCTTCTATATTTCCCCTCAACTCAGCAATACAGATTGTCGCACACCCAGGAATAGATACAAGCAAAGACTTCAGTATTAAACAGCCTATCGGAGTCTGTTGGATTGAGGATCCACCCCGGAAAGTCAAAGGTACTAAGGACAGATGCACAACGAAAGGAGCAGGTCACAATAAAAGGAAAGGCCCTAGAAAACGTTGAATCCTTCTGTTATCTTGGGAGCATAATTGACAGAGAGGGAGGAACAGGTGCTGAAATAAAGTCCCGCATTGGAAAAGCACAGGCTGCTTTCATATCTTTGGATAGGATTTGGAAGACCAGAGAGATCTCACTTCGAACAAAGCTGAGGATTTTCAATTCAAATGTGAAGTCGGTCCTGTTGTATGGATGTGAGGCATAGAACACATCGCAGACTTGTATAAAGAGGATCCAGGTTTTCTTGAACAGGTGTCTAAGAAAGTTACTGAGGATCAGATGGACAGACAGGGTCACCAATGTGGAAGTGTTAAGGAAAACAAGACAGATCCCAGTCAGAGATGAAGTAGGAAGAAGGCGATGGATTGGACATACTCTCAGGAAGTCAGGCAGCTGCATAACAAAGAAAGTTTTGGATTGGAACCCACAGGGCAAGAGATCAAGGGGAAGACCTCGTGGAACTTGGAGAAGAATCACAGAAATCGATGTACAGAAAAGTGGGAAGACATGGAATAACATCAAGAGGCTAGCCCAGGATAGAGAAAAGTGGGGGGTGTTTGTCCGTGGCCTATACCCTGGTGCAGGGTGAGAAAGGCAATGATGAGCAATACAGATGTATCATTCCCCCCTAGATGTTAGTGTGGGGGTGCACATCACCCTCCCTCCTCTCCTATTTTCCAGCCCTCCTCCTCCTCTCCCTCTCGGCCCCAGGCCTTACGTTCTGTGTGCGCTGCTTGATGCGAGCGATCTCCTCATGCTGCTGGAGCAGTCTCTGGCGCTCCTCACTGGCCACTTTGTTAGCTTCCTGCAGACGCCGAATCTCCTCCTGTCGACGCAAAGACAAGTCAGGACTTAGTTGTCTGTTAGGTTACTGGACTCAAACAAGTTACTATAAACTGTTACTAACACATCAACAAGCAAGGTTTGAGTTGTCTTTCAGGTTACTGAGCTCCTCCACAAACACAACTTACTATAAACAGTTACTAACACATTGACAAGCCAGGACTGAGTAGTCCATCAGGATACTGGACTCTTTCACAAACACAAACTGTCATAAACACAAGCCCAGGGTCATTTATAAGATTCCCTGGAAACCACTTACAGACAACACAGCACAGACATATCACACAGGCAGCAGAGAACACTGCACAGACAATATACAAAGACACAAGACAGGAAGTGCTGACTGATGCAGAGAAATCTAAAAGAGTTCATTTTTTGTACTTTTCCAGCGGCCGCTCACCTGCTGCTCCTGAAGGTTCTTGCGGATGATCTTTTCCTTCTTGTCCAGGTTGGGGAAGACATCATCGGCCCGCTTGTCTCTCGGCTGTTTCTTCAGCTGCTGCAGCCAGGCTAGCTCAGCCCGCGCCTTCTCTTTCAGGGCTTTCTCACGCAGCTTTAGCAAGGCAGCCTGGTGGGGTGGGGTGAGAAAACACAGTTCTAGTTCATTGAAAGAGAAAAAAACCTGCTGTCTATCAGATTGACATTAAAAAAAAGGACAACAGCTATCGGATTTTATTCAAGCAGTCGGGTGGTCGGGGGAGATATTAGGGAGATATTATGCAGTTCTTAATTCACTGACAGACGGGGAAAAAATCATTCTATTCAATGTTCTTCAAAAAAGCTTGGAGGAGTGATACATAGAAAGGCACCCACACCTCCTCATTCATTGACACAAAGCCTGTGGTCTTACACATTTTCTCTTAGCAGTCAGTTTATGTGGGGCATGGAGTCTTTGGGAAGATAGGTACAGGGAAAAACTGTCTACTAACACATACTTCCCATACTCACAAGAAAAAGTTAGGAAACAACAACGGTCTAAATATTTCAAGGGGCACAGAGAGCTGGGGCAAGAACACAGAGTATGTCAAGAGTGGGGGAGTTCTATATTGAGGATGTAGACTGTGTGATATACTATGGCATCTCCGTGGCTACTGACCTGGTGCTGGGCCCGGTACTCTTCCTCTCTCATGACCTGCCGCACCATCTCCGCCGTGAACTTGTTGAAACTGTCTTCCCCCACAAACAGGGAGCTCAGGTCTCCATAGGGCGTCACGTGGCTCGACACTAGAGGATATTCCAACAGCTCATCATCAGACTCTACAGGGGGCTCACTGTTACATCTACAATACCATACACACACGCTCTCATGGAGTAGTTTAGCTTGTAGCCCACCAGGGAGAACAAACACATCCCCAAATAGCATGTCCTTTTGCTATGATTCTCCCACAATCCTCTGTCTATACCTAACCCCCCGCCTGTCCCCTCCATAAACTTTTTGGACACTTCTTTGTTTTTATCTGAGTACCCTTTTTCCTCTCTAGGCTGGAATATTGTTATGCTAATTCTGTTCTCAATTTTGTATTAGTATTTGCATTCCAAAAAAGGAAGTAAAATGGACTGTAACAACAACAAATTTTGCAAACTACAATGCAAAACTACTCCATGAGTACATTGTATGCCTTCCAAAATATGTTTACTGCATTCCTGCAAAGTAATATATGACAGGAACAATAAACAAGAAAATTGATTTGTTGAACTTTAACGACAAAAATCAGCACTGGCCCCCTCCCTCTCCCCAACCCACTGTTACATAGTCAACTCCACCGAGTCTGTCATTACATTACAGTCAGACTCAATAGCACAGATGTAAACAGGTCACTAGGTCAGCTGGTGGAGGGTCAGGGCAGTATTGAAATCCTAACTTTGACAAGGAGACAGCATCAGAGCATCATAAAACAGACAAAAGAAAGCACCAGTAAAACCCACAGCTCTACGAGTTATCAGACAGAAGATTAAAGAAGGTCCTAGAACCATCAACAGCCTTAAAGGTATTATAAAACAAACAAATGAAAAGCCCAGTACCGTCAGCCGCATTGCCGCCCTCCCCGCTCTGTCTCCGCAGCTCCTTGCGATGCGACTCCGAGGGCAGAACTTGGCGGAACGACTCCTCGTCCGTGATGGACTCATCAAACGACATACTGTACGAGGCTTCCTCCTCCCCGGCGATCTCCTCGGGCACGCTGGCCGTGCGACTGTCCTGGACGTCCACGTCGGAGGCCGTCTTGATGGAGCTGTCCGAGTCGTCGCGGCTGTCTGCTGCTGTCTTCACAGACGTGGTCAGGGAGGAACGTTCACGCCCACTAGAATCAAACACAGATACATTGCAGTCATTTTTGCACTACTTTTATCAACACAATAGCCATCACTACCACCACCATCATCACCATAACATAATGACTCCCATCATCACCACCAAAATGACAACCATGGCAACAACAATTATCACCATCATCTCTACCAAAATGATAACCATCGCAACAACAAAATGATAACCATCGCAAAAAATTGCCCATCCCCAAAACAACCATCAACATTTTAACCACCATCTCAACAACAACCACCACCACTTCAATAACAAAGGCAACCACTTCAACAACAACCACCACAACAACCACCACCACCAGCACCCTCACCACAAAAACGACAATCACCATCACAACTGACAAAAACAAAGTGACAACTCTTGAGACCTCTGAAAACACCGACCTGGCAGTCCTTGAGGAAGACGTCACTTTAGTGACACTGGCCAGGGAAGTGGCTGCTGATGACCTCTTTGTGCGCCTGTTGCCAGGCGACTGAGACAGATCCTCACTCCGCGACACCGTCCTGGCAGAGGCAGAGGCCCCATACGAGCGAGAGTCGGGTCGGCGATTGTCTTCTTTCTCCAGCAAAGAAGCTGATGAATAAATGGTACCGTTGTAATCCAGTCAGTTTTATTAGTACACACGCAATTCTAGGCCTTATGCCTGCACACACAACTGCATGCCCTGTGCCTACAAACTTAATAGCAAGTCATATTCCCACACATGCAACTGTAGTCCCTATGCCTACCCACACAAATGCAATCCTTTTCCTATACACACAACTGTATAGTTTTAGCCATAGTAAGAGTTTTACAGAGCTTGCAAGACAATAAGGTCATATACGTGCAAACGATTAGAGGTGTTACAAGAGAGTAACAAACACAAAAGAAGGAGAGATCAGGACAATAAATGTTTGATAGGAAAGAAGGAGCAAACCACACTTGTGCAC